CAAGAAGAAGGTTTTCGATTGGTCGCAAAGCCACTTTTGCACCGCTTCCTGCACGTCTACGTCTGTAGAAAATTAGCGACCTCGCAAAGCATCCTTGAGCGGCCCAAACAGATGAAAGTCGGAGGGAGCAAGATCTGGGCTGCAGGAAGCGGTGCAAAAGTGGCTTTGCGACCAACCGAAAATCTTCTTCTCGGAAGGAATACGCAAGCTTGTGGACGGCTAGACCAAGTGCATTGCTAAGGGAGGAGACTATGTTGAAAAATGGTGTACACATTGAACCCCTATTTTTGTGTAAATAAATTGTAGAACAAAAAGTGCAGATAATTTTTGACTCACCCTCGTATAATACTTCGCATGAAGAAGTCCAAGAAATTGCAAGAAAGATGTAAAAAATCATGTCTTTATATTGTGGTGGACGAGATTGTGCGAGTGAAAGCGTGCGTACAAAATAAAAGTTGTGTGAGAGCTAACACGCGACCGTGTGAATTATAATATATGAATGTGCTATCCCAGTCTGGTATTGCTGCCGATGTGTAATGACGACTCAGCGTTGCATTAAACACACTAATTTGCCTCTACCATCACCTATGAGCTAGACATGTTCGAGAAAAAACAAACAACACTGACGCTTTCTCAAAACCGAGCAAGAGCATCGAGCTTCCTTGTCAGATTGCGCGTGATGTTATCACGAAGCGATTAAGCCTTTTCTTCTCTTCATTGCTATACCTTGTGAAGGACAATGCTGCTGGCAGGCAGCAAGAGTACGGAATCTATTGGAATTGCCTTTACAACCGCCGTAAACAAATTGGCTACAAGTGCCACGCTCGGCATCGTAATACCAGCGCAATGCCGAGCCCGGACAAGGTCCGGGGTCTCTCTTCATGGCGCATACATCAGACAGTTTTACTGCAAAAGTTCGTCCATCACTGTGCGATCGGGTCGCTAAGGAACGACTATGGGAACGTTTACAAGTAATATTCGCGGCAAGCGAGTTTTGAGTAAGTTCAACACACTTGCAAGAATGTTGTAATACTCATTCTTGACAGGTTTATGTTCCCTTTTATGTGCCGAGTAATCTCATAGGGTGCTTTTATCAGAATATAATTTTGTAATGAAAATTATAAATGTTATTAAGTACCTTGATATCGTTAAATCTTATTTGGATTTTATCTGACATTTTATATCACATAAACTAACGATTTTTCAATTTGATAAATTTCATATATCAGAAGTAAATGCATTATATATTATCAATCAGATTCACGTGATGGGTCGTAGATCTTATCTATCTGTTAGATAAAATTTTTTTAAGTTAGCTATTGCTAAAAAGTATTTATTAAGTAAGTAAATATTAATACTAGCATTCCATATACTTATAACTATTAAACTACGTAACTAAATTAATTCCCCCAACATGAAACAAGTTTTTCAAAACTGTTGTTACGCAATATCTCATCAGCGGCAAACATTTATCAGATAATAAATATTAAATTTTAAATTATATTTTAAAAAAGAGTGCCATATAAATAAACTGACAATTTACGTAAAACACGAAATTCTAGTGCACATACAAAAGCAATAGTAAGAAGAAAACGTACCTTTCCTTCGACCTGGCTGTAAGCATTGTTGATGACAAGCGATTTCTGTCGGGAAGTTGTTGTCGTTCGCTTTGCAGCCACCATACATGAATTGTTCGCAAGCTTGCGATTCGCGGTTGAAGTACCATTTTGTGAAATTGCCTGCGCAAGGGCCCGCTTCTTTCGGCTGATCGCAAGGATCTGTAATTTAAATGACAAACTCACAACTGTTAGTTGTTTAATTGATTCACAAATTCTCTTAGGTGTAATATATTTTATCTATTAAATTAAATTCAATATAATGTAAGTAAAGAGTGTTTTAAAAATACATTAAAATACATATTTTTTTAAACAAAATAATTTAAACGAGAACATAATATTTTTACATAACGTAATTGATAACCTTGCTTACCGACGTCGTCCGGCGTGACGCAAAGTTCTTCGCAGTCTTCTCTTGTTTTGAACTTGTTAGCATTGCCGAGACAACCACCATAAACGAATTGACCGCACTGCTTCCTGCTAGTATCGTAATACCACGTTGGATGATATCCTTCGCAAGGACCAGCGATTCTTGGTAAGAAGCAAGCAGCTGCAAAATAAATCGAGGATCCGTTGTTTGAATATTTAAATTTTGACGTTTTAAATAGGCGTAACTGGTGCGTTTACAAGGAGTTTGTTTAAATGTAAAAATTCTACAAATGAGAAATTCATCTTCATAATTATAATCTTGTGTAGCATACACATACATCGATTAATTATTGCGCAAAATATATAATATAGCTACCTTTTCCCTTTGGTTGTACGCAAACTTCTTTGCATTCCTCCTGTGTCTTGAAGCGATTTTCGTTACCCTCGCAGCCTCCGTACCAGAACCTCGAGCAGCCACCGTAATCGGTATCGTAAAACCACTTGACTGTAAAGTCTCGGCAAGAGCCTCTATCCTTCTTCAAACCGCACGCAGCACCAGGTATCGACGGTACCGTGAGACAACCTTCGAAGTTCTCCCCTTGAGCTTCCTCTATTCCATCCGGACAGCATCCGTATTGCGATGCGTCGCACGTACATCCCGCAAAGTTTGGTCCCTTAGCTGGCGTTCTGCCATCCGAACAGCATTTATATTGCGTGTTCTCGCATCCGCAACCTGTGAACATTATACAAAACACATTAAATTTTCTATTCTTCTTGACTCGAGTTACTCTCAACAATTTTTCTATTTTATATTACGTTACGATTGTATATCGATCGCCTACCTTGACCATGGGAGCCCTTAGCGATAGTGAGGCCATCGGGGCAGCATCCAAACTGGTAAGTGTAACACGGGCAACCCTCGAAATTAGGCCCGCTGGCAGGGGTGAACCGGTTCGGGCAGCAACCGTGAGGCGTGTAGTGACAACCGCAGCCCTCATTGTTTGGTCCACGCGCTGCCGTCGAATTATCCGGGCAACAACCGAATCTCGTGTATTGGCAACCGCAGCCGTAGAAGTTTGGTCCACGAGCTGGCAGAATGTTATCCGGACAACACTTGTAGGGAGTCGATAAGCAGCAACCCTCGTTGTTCGGTCCATGCGCCGGTGTCTCTCCATCCTCACAGCATCCGTAAGCGGTATCGTCGCATGGCATGCGACAGCCATGGTTGTCTGGTCCGAGAGCTGTGGAATCGCGAATAGTGGAAGCGTATAAAATAGGAGTAAAACGCTTTGCCGGTTTCATATTTTTCAATTATTAATTTAGTCGACTAATAAACGATGGCAAATCTACCAATAACAGGTAAATGGTATAAAAATAATGTAAAAAGCGACTTGTCTTTTATAATGTACTTTCGTTAAAGAATATTATTTCAAGTTAATGATATGTTTTAAAATTGTTAATAGCTGGCGATGTTTTCTCTTTCGATTCAGCGAATTCTGTGATTAACTGCTTCCAAAGCTAACATCTTATAAAATTTGATAATTTATTTATTACTGCGCAACCAACCTGGGGAAACTCCGTCAGAGCAGCATCCAAAGTAGGACGCGCTGCAGTTCTCGGTATTAATCACACCGCATCCCTCAAAGTTTACGCCATTTGCAACGGTAATACCATCGGGACAGCAACCGTAAGTGGTGTTTGCACAATCTTCGTGTTGAGTTGTTTCATACTCCGATGTTTCAGAAGTGACTTCTTCCTCGCAACCTTACAACACATGCCATTATGTAAAACATTCGAAAATACATACACAATACTTCATAAAGCACATAATATGACCTGATTTTAGAAAAATCTAACAATAAAATAATATCGTACAGTTGTGCGATATGTCATATATTCTCACATATATAATTTACACGACAGAGATAAAATACATACCTTCGCCATTAGGACCAGAAGCCGCTTTCATATCACCTGGGCAGCAGCCAAACTCGGTGATATTACAACATCCCAGATTATTCTTTCCACTAGCTGCAGTCTCGTTGTCAGGACAACATCCAAATCTGCGCAATTAAACGGCACAGACGATTAAATTGCGAGACTAAAATTGTACAGGTGAAAAGTTAACTTTATAAAAATGGAAACTAACTCTGTTTCTTTACATGGTTTCTTGCATCCTTCGTAATCGTTGCCTTGTGCCGTAGTAACATCGTCGGGACAACAACCGAAGAGTGATTCGTTACAATGAGAATCGGGGCAACCCTTCTTCTTGGGACCGGTGGCTGGCGACACGCCATCGGGACAGCAACCGTATCGTGTCTCGTTGCACGTTTGCGGTGTCGGGCAGCCTTGACCAAATGGTCCTTGAGCAACGGTGATATTGTCGTAACAACACCCGAAAGGCGTTTTCTTGCAGCTCTTCCTTGGCTTGCATTGCCGTTTACGCGCCGTTACTTCCGGGAAGCTGGTTGTCCATATCTCTGTGACTAAAGTTATAAATTGGCATTAATATAGAAAAACACCCGTTTCATCGTTCGAGATTACTTACTATCAGTCTTTTCGGTAAGATCGGTCTCGCCACTCATCGTAGAGGATGTAATTTCCGTTTCACCGGATACCGTTGTCTCTTCGAAAGACGATGTCGATTCAGTCGTTTCGCCTGACAAAGTTGTCTCGCCTGATAAAGTTGTCTCGCCCGACTCGGTCGTCATAGCTGATTCAGTAGTTTCCGTAATTTCCGAGACGGTACTTTCGCTGGATTCTGTCGCGCCGGATTCGACTGTCGCGCTTGAGGTCGTAACGTCGCTAGATTCGGTCGTCAGTCCGGATTCTGTCATCTCAACCGATTCTGTGCTAACACCGGACTCAGTCGTCTCTCCTGATTCTGTAGTCTGTCCCGACTCGGTTGTTTCGCTACCGGTACTTTCAGTCTCACCCGATGGACTTGTTCCAGAAACAGTAGTGTCTTCTGTACCGCTAACTGTGGTGCTGTAACTCTCGTCGGTTTGACTCGATGCTGTAGTTACAGCGTCGGTACTTTGTTCCTCGGAACCGAAATCATACTCGCCTTGTACGTTTAATGCGGTTGTTAGCTGAGAAACCATTGTTGATGTCATCTCAGTCGAGGTTTCTGCGAAATATTATTATTACTATGTAATTTGTACGTTTGACTGGTTGGTAGATCAATTATCTAATTTTACGTTTATGGTAGAAAAGAAATGTAAGCGCGCGTGCGCCTTCATATAAAGACATTGGAAACCTTGTAAAACACATCTGAAAGATTGCTATTTCTATGATTTAAATTTAAATAATAAAATACAAAATTAATACAATATTTTAATTGTGTCTCTGCATTAAATCACCATTACAAGCTGTTTTACGATTAAATATTTACCGGAGGTGGTTTCGCTTTCAGTCGTTTCTGTGGTATCCGTCTCTGAAGATAATGTACTTGGTGGAGATTCTGTAGACTCGGTCGTATCTGTGGATTCGGTAGTTTGTGTTGTTTCAGTCTCTGTCGAGTCAGTCGTTTCGGTATTTGTCGTATCTGTTTCAGTAGATTCTACCGGGTCAGTCGTAGAAGAAATCGTGCTTTCCGAAGTGTCAGCCGATTCGCTTGTTACATCAGAATTAGTCGTCATATCACTGGATTCGATTGTTGTTACTGAATCTTCACTGGCAGTCGATTCAGTATCTACATTGCTAGTCGACTCGCTGGTGACGGACTGATCCGTCGATTGTTCTGTTGTTCCTGATTTAACATCACAAAGGAATCAATAAGTATACATATAAAGTAATACTGATTTTATCAACGATATAAATGATTTACGTTCAACATTATTTGTCACAATAACTTCCTTAAAAACTGAAATAAGTATTTGACAGAAACGTACCGTCGGATCCCGATGTTTGAGTGAATTCGTCCGTAGATGCGCTCGCGCCGGATCCTTCGGGGCTGGTGTCGGATTCTTCTTCGATAGTAGTCCCGGATCCTTCGATCGTTACGTCGGTTCCTTCGGTGATGTCCGACGACTCGGTTACCTCCGTCCCGAACTCGGTTGTGCCGGTTTTGCCTTCCGTCGTAATTCCGCTAACCGGACTTTCGCTCTCGTCGACAGCGGTAGAATCGGTCTCGACAGTACTGCCGGTGAAGAAGCCAGTATCAAACATGGTAAAATCGTCGTCGCCGCTACCCTCGCCGCTGCCCAAATCGGAAGGTGAGATGTCGCCTCTCGTAGAATCACTGAACATCGTGTCGTAAATGTCACTTCCGGTAGACGGCGAACTCAGAGGCGTTGCTTCTGTTTGCTCGATTAGTTTGCCCATCTGAAAAAAAACCCCGAGAAAAATCACTTCAACGTTGCAACTATTTAATCCTCTGCGCAAGATCGAGAAAGAATCGCTTTACCGGATTGTCCAGATACGGAAAGATTGATTTGATTCGTAAATCCAAGACGTGTCTCTTTGAAACGTCTTGGAACAATAAGAAACGAAGTTACGAAGTAACTCAGTCACACCTAATATTTAATTAAGTGCTGCACGACCTAGTTTCACTTACCCCCGTAGGAAGACTGAATTCACCGGCAGCCTTTCCATCCTCTTCCTCCTCCTCCTCCTCCTCGCATTCCTCCTCCTCCTCCTCCCCTGAGTCTGTTGTTTCACCTGGCTCCTCGTCGATCGGTGTCACGCCTGCGTTCAGCAAAACAACAAATTTACATGAATCAAAATTAAAATTTTTTAAATAAACATCTTTTAAAAATATGCACATAAAAACATTCTGATAACATTGGATTCTATGCGTGCACTCTATTTATCGTTGACTAACTTCGAAAGCACATCGGAAATTTAATTCTCCTCGCTACAGAAAATGAGAGACATGTTATTCACGGTGGGTGGTTCGTGTTGCCCTTTAGAATGTGATAAGTGCTAAGACATTTGAATTTAATACCACGAACCTCATTATTTTCACGCCTGCTGTTCAAGGTATATTCAATATTTTATGCTCATGGCCTATAATGAAAAGGTTTACATCACAATAAATCACTCTGCGTTATAATGAAGCAAATGTTAATACATCTTTATTATCTCTAGTAATGAAAACGACAACAAGGGACTTTCGAGATTAATAGAATTTACAGAATGAAATTTATTTTCCAGACAAGCTAGTTTGCCGAATTATTATTAATATGTATATTACTTCTATACATATTTCTCTTTAATGGAGATATGCTTAAGTGTATTAAAATAATACAAAATAAACAACTTGTAAAGATTTAAATAAGAGATTTAATAAACAGCAAATTTTTAAATTATTACTAGTATAAATCTTTGTTAAACTATTTTTATTTTTAAAAGTGATATTTCTTACTTATTTTATACCTGTATAGAAAACATTAAGCTATCTTGAAAATATTAAGACTAAGCTTCTTGAACTTTTTTACCTTCTTCACAAGGTTGATCGTTGCATTTTTCGGTAGAGAACATAATGCTATCGGCATCACACTGACTCACAGGTACCGTCTTGTTGTCCTTCATGCAAATCACTTTGCGAGTCATGTCACCGTCGCCACATGGCTCCGAACACTGCAACACATTACAACGTGATTGACGACGTTGACTGCATTTCAAGAAAATTAACAAATCTGAATAATTAAACTTTACAAAAGTTAGCCGCTAACGAAGTAATATCAATTAACCACATCTGAAAGTAAAAATGTTACATGTCCTCAAAATTAAATTAAGAATGAAGACGAACCTTGCTCCAGGGCCCAGCGAACCATTCGCCCTTGCACGGTTCTTCAGCGGTGCAATTTTGGGTATCTTCAAATTTCTTTTCTGGCTCGCAATTGTCGTCCGAAACTTTCTTCACAGTATCATCGCCAAAAGTGCCACAGAACACTTTGCGCGTTTGAACGCCGTTTCCGCATTTTGCCGAACACTACGAAAATGTTAATAAAGATGAAAAGAGAGAATGAACTTTTTTATTGTACATTTAGCTGAAAGCTCTGACAGGAATATTTAATTTATTGGTAGCGCTTATTGTTAGTCAATTTATTTGTATATTGAAATACATTTTCACTTTAGAATGAATAATGAAAAGATGCAAATGAATGTTCACTCGTTTACCTCGCTCCATTGTGAAGTAAACCACTGAAAATCGCAATTTTTGGCTTTCTCGCAGTCTCTTTCCAATTCCGGCTTCTTGTCTGCATCACACAAATCATCTGGATGAACTGTGCCGTCTTGAGTAGCGCAATGGGCCGTTCTGGTTTCTTTGATGAGATCACACTTTTCCTCACACTATTAAGAAACGATTTTCAATTGTTTGTTTAAAACTTTGAGAAACATATAGAAGTGATTTCGGCAATTTATTATTCAATAACAAGTCATTTGCGTGTTCAAAGCGACTCACTCCGCTCCAGTCCGAGGTAACCCAGTCGAGACCAGCGCAAGGTCTCAGCTCGCATGCTTTTTCACGTTCGGGCACCTCCATTTCGCACGCCTCATCTTCCAACACTTGGATCTTGCCGTCCACCTTCTTGTAGCACGTAACTACCCTGGTTTGTTTACCAGGCCCGCATATATGATCGCACTGAGAGAAAATTTATTTCTTTCATCGTAATCACGTAATTCGATAATTTAATTTAAACGTATAATTTAGGTTTTGCGCGACAATATAATGACTTACAGGCTTCCAGGGTCCCTCGTGCCACAGTGGACAATCCACGTCTTTGTTGCACTCCTGCTTAGTAAGTCCTTTCGGCCCAACTTTTTCCAGACATTGAGAATCATCCACCACGGAAGCGATTCCACCCGAGATGACCTGCTGGCACTTGATCTCTCTGGTCTGCTCGCCGCCTTCGCCGCAATGTTTGCTGCAAGTTGACCACGGGCCTTCTACCCAGCCTGATGGACACGGTTCTTCGCTACAGCTTTGGGTGTCAGCCGGCTCCAACTGCGGATCGCATAAGCTCTCATCCACCGGCTGATTGTCACGCCTTCGTACACAAGCTACTCGTCTCGACTGATAGCCTTAAAAGATAAACGAAGCGTGAAACGGACTTGTTTTCATTCAAGCGCAACTGTTACTTTAACTATAATAGATAATTATTAAGTTCAATGTTGAAACTGCGGATAAAGTTGATCGGCAATTACTTTACTGCCGCTTACTTTTATCACAGCTGTATTAATTTTTTGCACAATTTGAAGGGATTTATTAATATTTTATCAAACTAAAGTAAAAGTATTTTATTAAATAGCAATTCCTTGGTTGATTATCAACAAATCTATTTGCGCATAACGAATAAAAACATTGTTTCCTGTGAGAAGAAAACATGAACTTGAGAACCTACAGTTTTAATTGCACGAATGTTAAATTAAATTGGCAATACCTCCACCGCAACTGACGCTGCAACTTGAAAATTCATCGGTCACCCATGTGTAGCTATCCGGATCAGGACGTACCGAGAACTTCTTGGGGATGCTGTACTCATAATGCACCCCCACATTGCGGTCTTGGTACAGCAACTGCGAAAGGGAAACGGTTTCTCGTTAATACACTCTTCGTTCTGAATATTTCAGTAGCAAAAGAAAACCGATACCGAAGTATACTGACCACAACGTAAATCGGCTCATTCGTTGGCCCCAGGGCCGTGATGGTATCGGGTGCTGCAAATCCCTGAGGATCTCTGGCGTAATGAAAGATCGTGCCGGAAAAGCGCAAGCTGCGCGGAAAGTCTATTCTCCAATTGCCATTTAAATAGTAATGTCCGGTTGTGTTGCGTATGGCTGAGTAACAATTTTCAAAAATATTCAGAACAACTTATTGACATTGTATTTATTGACTAAGTTGTTTCATGAAATATTGATTTCAAATATTACATGTATGCGTTATTTTAGACTGTTTGACGTACAGGTTTTGATTCTTTTTATACTTACCTAAATAATTGTTAGATGGATACATTTCTTTTATAACGATATTGGTCGCGCCCTCGGGAATAAGTAAAATATCGATATAACCTGCGAGAACAGTATTTCTCTATTATTAATGTAGAAAAATAGAATAATAGAATTGCAAAAGCTTTATGAAGTAAGAGAATATTAATTAAAATTATTGACTACACAGAAATGATCTGAATTACTTATTGGAACGTTGTTATAGGAAATTGTTACTAATTTCATTTGCAAATATTAATCAGTGAAAATGACTCACCCACTTGAAGATCGTCTGTGTCAAATAAGCCGGTAACGGTATTGCAATCTGAACCGTCGCCACCGCATTCTCTGCACGCATCTTCTTTGGCATCGCTGCCCAACATCATATCGCATCCAACATGCTATACAAAACAATTTTATAATACAGTCTCGTATGTATCTTTATGTATCTTCTTTAGTTTTTTATTATTTAGCCACAAGTCTATTATCTATTATTTGATTGGAGTACACGATAAAAAATCCATTATTTAAATGAAAATTATCTAATTGTTTGTACGATTTGACTGTAAATTAGTGATAGTTAATAATTAAATATAATTTACCATGCATTTGCCTTTGACGCAAACATCATTCTTTTCGGATTCACAAGGAGTACCGTCTATCACAGCGACTTTATGCCTGTAGAAAAATCGTTCACCTCGTGGCATGCAATTTAGTTCGCATTTATTTGGACTTCCGGTGTATGGAATCCAACTGTGGAAAATAAATAATAATGTGCAATTAAAAGTCAATAATAATCGTAAATATTTTGTCAATCAGTTACTATTATATATTATCTTGTATTACTTAATTTATTTAACAAACGATGTATTGGATCGGTAGTTAAACATCCTGACTAACAAATAACAGATTTATGACTCCAATTTATACTCATAAATAATAGCTGCATTCATGTGATTATAGTTTTAGGAGAAACTTTCGAATCTCTTTTACTTAATTCATGATGCATAAAGAAGAAAGAGTATCCATAAATATAATGTCTTTCATTAAAAGATGGAAGAAGCGGCTGTAGATTACGGAGTAAATGCACGGATTATTAAGTGATGTCAAAGGCCGCGAGGAATTCTATCGTAGTCCCAGGTCGGAGTACCGATCATAAATCACCGTCACGACGCAACAATAATCTTGTCTCATGAATTCGACAGAATTTCCAATCGAGTAGGCATTGATAATCTTAATGCCAGCTACGAGAAGAGGGAGGGAGAAAATACCCACTCGTAATAAACTCCTTCGAAAGGTACATTGTTGAACTCCGCGCACTGCTCCGCACGAAAATCCTTCGATTCACTGGGACATTCCTGGAAAAAAATATTTAGTACTTTTTAATTCAGTGGAATAAAATTATTGACACACCGGCTCATGTTTTAATTTTAATTACTTGATAATTTGTAATATAAAAAAAACAACAAAAACGGAAAGTTTATACATGGCGATTATAGCTGTAAAAAATGCAAGTTGTATAAAAAATTCCACAGCTTTTCTCTTATAAGAAACAGAAATTTAATAAAGTAGAAGTTTCTAATACTTTCTATTAACATTTTGTATGTTGCGCTGATTATATCGAGAAATTCTTGCTATGTCTTTTCATTATCTGAATATGAGTTAGTGCAGCAATTTGAAAAATGAATTGAATAAAAATATTACTTTTACTAGATATAATGTTCGTTGCTGACAGTTGTTGCAGTGAACAAGAACACAAAATTGCGCAGTGTCAAAGATAATTATTAATTTGCAAATATGTTCTCATAAAAATAGCAAAACGATTCAAAATAATGCTTGAAACTTGAAATCGCTACTTGAGTAAGTCGCGCAAATTAATTTTTATCGCATTCCACCGCGTTTTATCGTCCTCATTTTGTCAAACTCGAATTCAAAATACATATCAGCGGTGGATGTCGAGTTTACATATAAAGAAATATACACATGCTTGAGCATCATTGAGAAAAGCGTTTCATCATCGTGTGAAGGGACCGAAGAAAAATGCCGCTCAAAGGCAAAAGAGTCTTTGTTAAAGGATCAGTGAAATGTCCATATTTTCTGACTAGCAATTCTTTTTGTTAGCTCAATTTGATTTTTTGAATATCTCACTACATCAGGTACATTGTTTACACATTACATATTGTAGTAGTGATAATGTAGAGATTTTAACAAGTCATTTATCGAATCAGGTACTTTTAATATACAGACTTAGATATTATTTTCACCTTTCCATTGTACCCTTATCAATTTTGATAGTAAAAATATTTAAAAATTATTGTTGACTTAATACTTATATCATATCTTAATTAATTGCTTTGAACATTTGAGTAATAATACTGATTGATTTAGAAAATGTATCCTTATTTAGTTTTGTGAAATAAATGAGCGCGTGTTGTTGTGCGATTTCATGAACGGTCCGCAAAAATGAAATGATCCAGAAATGGACGGGGAGCAGATCTATGAGGCAGGTAATGTCGATAAATCGAGTGGAACCCTAGCAAAAACGAAGAAGGATACTCCGGCGAGACCGGTACCACGCACGAGGATACAGCACAGAATTTATAGTGGGAGATTTCTTGCGAACGGAATGAAACATCAGTAAAAGGGTGACAAGGCAACAGGGTGGCTTGAAATAGCAAGGGAGAAAAGAGGGAAAGAAAGAGAAAGAAAGAAGAGAGTGAGAAATGACAACATTCTGGAAAAAGTTTTAGGTGTTAATCGAGACATTCGAAAACAATGTTGCAAATAACGAATATATACATTATATGTTATTTTATATAGGTAATATTTTATATATGGATGAGAGATGCAGCTATTGTCATTCCAGGAAATAAACGTCAATGGCATCTGTTATAGAGCATGTATAGCGGTGCACCTTGCTATTTGTTCTAATTAGCATCTAGCTCTAACGAAGTTAATACTTCGTGAGTCAATGCCACATAATAGGCCTCGGTTCATGAATCTTCTGCAGTCCACCGCACAAACGCACTTCTCGAAGAGAAAACATTTTAAAGAACAAATTTTTAATGTTATGTATCAACTATCTAATATGTTGTTACGCAACAAATTTCAAAGTATTTTAAATGTAATAATCAGATTACGTCTCATTCCATTAAACTCTTCAATGACAATCTGTCATCTTGAAATACGAAGGATAGATTCTTGTGTCAGTTTCAGAAGATTCACGTAATATTCCCTTATTGTTAGATCGGTCTCGTAATTGCGTAACAGCGATATGTATCCTATTTCTCCACGGATAATTTTTATCAAAAAAATTTTCTATTGCATTTTCTATTTGCTCTTAAATAGTTTAATGGGTAGATGGGAAAAAATTCATGGAAAAAAGGCAGAACACTGTCGAATACTAATTGCAGTTAATTAGTCATAATTTTTCTATGAGCTACAGAAATGGAAACAATATGAAATTGTGACTGCAAATTTTTCATAACTTGCAAATTTTATAATACTATGTTGCATTTTTATTTTATGTTACGTGTAAAACTTAAATTGGATGTATATTAAATTTATAAGTTATATTTAAAATTGTATAAGACATATGGGTGTGTGTGTGTGTATGTGTGTAATTATGTTTTTACCATAAAAGACATTTTAACTTCCGCTTTTAAAATAAAATATACTGCTTTTTTAACGAGTCTAATTGAGAAAATTGTAATAATTTGCGATTTTCGCCAGCAAAAGTAAAATTAAATTAAAACCAAGAAAAAAGAGAAATTTGTAGCAGTCCATACTACAAATCGCTTCTTAAAGCAATTATAAATTCTCGTGTGAATACTCCAGAGGGTAAATGTATGTTGTGAAAATTAAAAACACGGTAATCTCATCCGAGTATCGTGAAAACGCGTATAAAAAACCACATTCGTCTAGTTGGGAGAGTATATTTTTAGATTAATGAGTGGCTCAACAATATGAGATAATTTACTGAATAATATTGAAACGTCGATGAGTTGCTTGATAGGAGTAAGCCTACATTATGACACGTAAATAAAAGGGAGAAGATGAATATACCAAAACTGAAACTATCATTTTATCACAAATATACAGACTAACAGAGATCTTTTTAAATTTATTTGACAGTTATTAACCTTATTTATAACAAACTTATCTCGAATGTAGTAATATATAAATAAAAATTAATACAAAAATTAAAATTGAATCGTTTTGTTAATACATCGTAAAAATAATTTTTCAAAATCCAAAACTATTTAAGTGGAATGCATACAGCGAAACGTCTGAGTTCAGAGATTAATGACGTAACTGGCTAAAAGGCCGAATTAAATTATGACATAAATTATATGATTAAAGATCGTGTCATTCGTTGGCTTATATTTGAAAGATAGAAGGCAGGCAGGACGCTTCGAAAAGACGTGACACAATTGTGACTTCCTGAATGAATCAATTGTTCACCGAGATCAACGATCAAATTGCAGATTAATCGCAATGTTCTGTACCGATGGATCGTCATCGTAGTTTAATGATGATTAATTTATTTGATTAACGAATCTTAAGAGTCATACGCGCAAAAGCGAAAGTGTGAATTTCAATTAATTGATTTTAGTTTGTTTGGCGATGAAAGTAGATTGAAATGCGCGTTCAAGGTCTCTTGATAGACTGTCAGACTATTCGATCTATTAAAGCACATCACATAAATCACTCGCTGTTACAAGGCAATTAATCAAGTTCCTGATTGTACTCCACTCGCATAGCCCGCAGGCATTCCCACGAAATCTTTTTGCAATTTCCAGCTGATATTATCATGTCGCGAAAGACGCGATCACTCGCGTCCAGAGCGAGTGTGTTTATCTCAAATAAAATAATTATAACTTGTCATTATGAATTTTCCGTACTTACTTGAATGTTACACGAGAAGAATCTCCTTGACGCACCAGTACACTTGTCATGACCACTGTCACTGCAACATTATAGAATAAACGTGTTACTTTAACAATAAGCCATATTCTACACTAATTTAGATTTTAATTATGCGATCTTTGTTCTTATCAAATTCGATAAAAAATGATAATAATAAATTTTTTGCCAAATTGAGAATCTTCTCTTTAGTTGACAAGTTTTTTGTTAAAAAAAAAGAGATATAGAAAATCTTTGTACTCTCAGTTAAAAAAATATATAAATTATGAAATCTGTACGGAAGTAAATGGAAAATAATCAATAATGACTTGTAGTATTCTACGCCAATGTGAAGTTTCCTGAGAACGAGATTAAGAGATTACTGCTTCAATAAATTTCCGCAGTATCCTGGTAAGTGCTGCTTACTTATTTCGCACGAAGGTCCAACATTTAAAAATTTATCCTCCTAAGGTAGATATCTCTTTTTGCTTGATGAAATTTTTAGAGCGAGATTCCAAGATTTACTTAGATCGAGCAGTTACGACATACAGCATTATATGTAATATTTTATTAATAGATTTATGTACATAATCATGTTGTGTCACATTTTCGAAGTTTTATCACTTACTCTTGGTACATAAGGATTAGAAACTTACGGAAGCACTAAATCTAATCACTTTCAATAAATACGAAATATTTAAAAGAAACAAATTATACAACCATAGCGTTTTCTTCGCTAGCTTATGATTTCTAATCGATCGAAAGTATCGAATATAGAAACGGAAAGCACTTCACGATAATCATGAAAATAATGCGTTTCCTTCGCGATTAATCGACACATTCAAACGACCTGTGACACGATGCATTCAAATGTGAGGAGCTTGATGCAAAGTGCGCATCACGCGCTTTCACGTTACGATTATCTCGCTTTCTAAGACCCGCGCGCTATCATTACCGATGAGCCCACCCCCGGCCAACGCAAATGTCGATCGTCGATCGGTCACTCTCCCGATTTTCCTACTCTACGTAATCACGGCGTGTTAAAACCAACTTTAATTGCGCTTCGTCTTTGCGATGGGAAATTGTGAGAATTTCCCGGAGATAGCGTGACGTCGGGAGACGTGTAAGTGCCTACGATTAATCTTCCCTTAGTTTCGAGATAAGGAGGATTTACGGCGGATCTGTTACGTTGGCGTGTGCTAGGAGAAAAGTTTCGTTGATTTATCCTAAATTTAATCGCGGCTGACATACGACGCACAGTAAAAAAAATTCGGTTGACAGTTTCCTGCATATTATATGTGATTTTTATAGCGGTTTGCTATTTTAAATAAGGTTCCTCATTGTAACTTTCCAACGAAGGCAGCATTTCGTTTGAACACAATGCAGAGAAGTGTGTATTAATACTATTAAGATGTTAAAATTTTAAGGGATATCTTTTCGATATTTTTCCTTACATTATTTACATAATTACATAATTGCTCGAATCTGTATAAAATCAGGTAAAATATAATTTATATGGTGTTTTTTTATTGATGTTTTGATATAAATAGTTTCGTCAATTTGCCGCTTATACGATATTACTTCGAGTATCCATTGCAGATCGAGACTTGATTAAATTCTTTGCAAGTTTGTGTCCGCTTTAATCCAATCTCAATTCAATTGAGCATACCATTGTAGCGAATTCTAAGCGAGAAACTCAACGAGGTAAAATGGCTTCTTTCGGATAAATTCAACGAAGAACAAATTTCAAACTTTTAACTTTGTTACGAATTCGGGCACAATTACGAAAATAACGCAGCAATTATTGCATATTAACGATAATTTTGGTACAGTATTTAAATAACAATTGCTAAGCAATATTTATACTTATTTGAAATTTCTTATTAAATATCGCGCCGAGAATTTCTCGTCGGTAAATTTCGCAAGAATTATAAAAACTTAGCAGTTCGTAATATCTCACGTTTAAAAGATCCAGCGCTATTGTTTCCATTTTCTACGATAATTCCACGAGAGAGATATTGAGATGTCCGTTTTTCTTTTACACATCAAGTTCTCCAACATATCTCTCTCTACTTTGACATTATTCTTTATATTATACGACAGGAACAGCGCGTTCTAACATGAATGGTAGCAGATAGGCAATGAGCGCATTACAAAAGCTTGTAACGTATAGTAGTAACTCACTCTATGTCGAGACATTGTCTGGTTTGATGAGCGACTCCGCCACCGCAGGAGCGCGAACAGGAACTGGGTGTCGACCATGGTCCCCAGTTGCCTCTCTCGGGCTCATCAGTGTCTGGTATGAAGCTGCTGGGCAGATAACTTTCGCCGTGCTGTCGGCGATGCCTCCCGTGCCTTAATTTTATATGATGCTGCAACAAGATCAAGAGAAATATATTTATTACGTTGTGCCCGCGTCTTCTTGTTCCACGGCGCGCCGCACCGTGCATCAAGAGAGTCAACGGGGTATCACGGGGTCGCAGCCCGGGGTCGCGAAAAAGATGTGGCCTGCCGTGAGAACGTAAGTGCGAGAGGAACATTTCGCGTTAAGTGCCCCCTTGTTCACCTGCAGCCTCCGCCTCCGAAGAACCATCCGCGCGACGTACAGTTGAGCTTCGTGGGTAACAATAGTACTCGTGATGCTCGAGCCGCGAGGGGCACTTTAATCCTTCAAAATGGAAACAACTCACGCACGTGTACCGTACGTGGAACATATTTGAAGAATATATCTTTTAATCCATTAATTTACCTACAGACAGTTAATCCTTTCTCTCATGGAAGCGTAACTGGAGTATGTAATACTTTGCGCCTATCGCTCTAATACCTAAATTTTTTATTGGAAAACTCATAATTAATATTTCATCCCCGGATATTCTTACAAGAATCTTTATTCTTCGCATACAACGTACATTAAATAGCGATAATTATGTCTGAGTAAGCAAAAATCTCTCGGGTATTTAGAGAGAAAAGTTTTAGAATTATTTTTTTCAACGAAAGAATAAAGTCACAGTCAGATCGCACGCAGGACTTATGCTCGAACTTTTATTCCAGAGGAAAGACGAAAAGAGGCTATATAACATTTCAATGAGGTTTTTCTGGCGAGTGCCCAAAACAGTTTGCATTCGCCGCGGCGTCGGTTGAAAAATGCATGTGCGGTTTTCAATGAAATTATCAGAAATCCTACTTCCATCTCCCCCGTCGGATACTTACGGTCCTCCATTTAACGATGCTTTCACCGATAAATGATAGTTTCCTAATCGAACGCGCTCTCAAATACAACCGTTGCAAGCGTGTTTTGCCGAGTAGCTTGGCTATTGATTTCTAATAGCCCATTCGCAAAATTTATAGCTTCATATGGAAATGTATTGCTTTCAAGAGGCTAAAATGATTAAAAAATAATCGTTGATATTGCAAATTATTCTGCTTTATACTATTAATTCCGATAATTTTTTATTACTACTATAAGCTTTAATGCATGTCTTTGTGACTAACTTTTGATAAAGAGGCAATTTTGTTATTTAATCTTTATTTAAATTTAAGAATTTTTTCAATTTCTTGAACTAATGTCCAAAAAGATTAATTATCTGAGGTGATATATGTATACGTTGTTCCTTCAAACTAAACTCACGATTATTTGCATTAATTATTTGCCATGAAATTATTTTATTTGAAATATCGGCAATAAAATCGTTTTATGCTTCATGTAGGTGGTTAACGAGTGCTTTGCATTCAAATAATTAGCAACAAAAGAAGGGCCGGGCATAGTACGATTGTATGCGATTTAATAAAACACAGATTTATTACGTTCCTCGCGCAATTATACTCTGTGTACAATTTATCCAGTTAAGCAGTTACACCAATCGTTATATGACACAATGAATCATAGCGGCCGTAACGATTTGCAGCAATTACAGCGAATTCCTTTTGCTCTTTAAACATATAGCAGAAGATTATGTTTATGACTCGGCGCAGTTATGTTGATAGAAATTTATTGATGCCTTTTTTCACAAAATCAATTACTTAAAATTAATTTAATGAGGAAATGGTATCGATAAATTTAATAAACTTTATACAATATATATTTCCCAAAGAACATTTGTCATTTCTAACATAAATAAAACGAGGAAACATCCTTTCTTTTACCTTTTAAATTTACATTAACGTAATTGTTAATGTACTTTAACATAATTGTTTGATGATCGCGATATGAAAATCACTAGATCGACAGCAAGTAGGTATGCAATAATCTCAATATGAAATATGTTCACAATTAAAACGTACAGTTTTTAATATTTTCTATTATAAAACTAATATAGCATTAAAATTTTATATTACAATTTTCACAGTTTTTGGCGCTTCCCTTTTTCTGTTCGTATATTTCGATTTTTCAGCGTTATCACATTTAGAATATAATTAGAAAAGACTCAAGTTTGTAATTTATATGTAAATAATCTAAAATACATATGAAAAACATTTTTAATTTTAAATAATTTTTACTTTAGAAAGAGAAAGTATTGAAACAAAAGAAAAATACATACCATTGTTGGGACGAGGAATTTTGTTGAAATTTGTGTTATTTCGTATTCCATTAATAAAAGATTGTATGTGCATCGTTTATGTACCTACACGCAATCATTTGTACTCCCGTTTATGACAGCTGCAACGGAGACTTTTTTCATTAATCGTGGGAGACCATTGTGCGCAGATGGATGTAACGTATGCGTTATGTTTACGTAATATGAGTATCGTCCGAACGCAAGAAGATGACTTTCTTATTTGCGGTTTCTGTAAGCATCTGGAACTTATCGTGCTCCTTGCGCTGCCAGGTTGCTCGGACGATGTGAGAATATACATATATTTACACAGTATAAAAACGTATGTAAATGACGATAAAAACAAACAGATGTGTTTCAAGTTATTGCCCTGTCTAATATTTTTTTAAATAAGAATACAATAAGAAGATAATATTGCAGATCTAGAACTCTGAATTTATCTTGAAATCTTTTAATAGCTCTTGTATCCAGTAGCACTTCGTAGAGTAGGAATGGAAAAGCCCATTTTATTCATTACCGATCTTACAGTCGATTGGCCATTGTAATAATTGCACCCACTATGCTGCGTGACTGCACGAGACGAGATATGAAACGTAACCATAACGTTAACAGTGAAACGTAATCCAATAGTCTCAGGGGTCAATGATTCACAGAGAAGGTTTCTGCATCAGGTGACCTTGGTAAGCTGATTTCTTGAACAGATTAGCGTAATCTCAATGACGTTACAGCGAACTAATTGGAAAACTCTTACATTTATTTGTATTATTATATTACTCTATAATCATTTGCATTTATGTACTCTTTAATTACTTACATTATTTAAGTATAAATAATTAAAAAATTGAATAAAAAATAAAATATTAAACTAAATAGCATAAAAGACATTTTAATTGTAGATACTTTAATTATAATATATGCAATATAAGTGAGATTTCATTTGGCGTTTAAATTCCTAATGTTTAATATCTGCTGTAACAGTAGATAACCACGAATGCTTTTTATCACGGTCGCCTCTGCAATACAATAATGGCTTGTTCTAGTAAGAAGGGGATAATCATTAATCACTATAAATTTCCACCTTCTCTGTTATCAGGAATAAGAGACAAAAGATGCAATTTAAATAGATATAATTTTGCTTAAATGCAACATGTTAAATAGTGACGGTTTTTTCATGAATCTGTAAATTTTTTTTAACAATATCACATTTTTAATTATAAGTAAAAATCATAAATTATAATTAATGATAAATCTTTTCAAATTTCACTGAATGAAATTTCTGATTTAATCTTCCTGCTTGGAGTATTAAAGTAAATATAGCTAATTGCGTTAATTGCAACGTGATCACGCTGAAATGTGTAACTAAGTGTAAATGTGTAATAAAATGATAAAAAATATAACTTCATTAATTAAAATAATCAGAAATGGTCATTTAAATGTACATATACATTTCCTGTTTATCTATACACTAATCTATGAAATTTATTTTAGATTACTCCGTAACATAAATTATTGTAATAATTTAATATCTGAACAATGCGTGTTATGTCGGCCGCAAATCGTCGGATTTAGAGTTCGCTGTTACCGAGACGCAGCAGTTGTACATGAAATTTGACGATCGTAGAATGTTCCGTGAGATTGCGTGGCGAAGAGTTAATTAAATGGTTCGGAGAAATGGGTCTCTCTCTCCCAATGCGAGAGGTCAGTCGATGAACCATGAACGTCGGACTCAACACGCCTCCTTCTTAATAATTGTCATATATATTGTCGCTGTCTGACCTCACGTCCGCCACAAATAATGGCAGGCCCACTATAATGGCAATTTTGTCTGCGAGATCGTTGATAGCAATTCAATAATGCAACAGAAACTAAAGATCCATATCAGTTTCTTTTTTACAAATTATCACGAAGAACGAGGAGCAAAATAAAACAAAAGTGTCATCAGTTATATCATCGATTTGTACTGTTCTATTTTTCGTTTATATAATAAAATCGGAGTTTTGTTGCGTGATAAATATTATATTAAATTTTACAAAATAAATTTATTATTCAACAATGTTAATTAAATATGAAACTAACGAGAACCAAATAAATTTCTTCCACAAAATGTTATTTTTTTGTAATTTGATGGACTTACTAATAAAATCTCTTTCTCTCTCCCTCTCTCTCTTCAAATATTCATAAGATCGTAATTGCATTATTCTTTTGAAAAAGAAGCCAGTGAAAATACACTACGTTACAGTACCATATCATTATGACATAATTGGAATAGTCGTTTAACATTTATGTAACTTCTTGTTACATATTTAGTTATATAGAAATGTGTCGAAAGGACTAATTATTGCATCAAATATGCACGACAGTATCTTTAACAAATAAATTTATTTTAACGATGCGAATTTCATAATATATCATTGCGATGTCGCACCGACAAAATTGGCGGATTCATTTTCAAGATTCCTTTGCGTCTGTAACGATCACTTAACTTAGATTAGCCACGCAGTCTCGCCGGGATTGCACTGATGACGGTAAAAAGCCGCTATGAGTCACAGAGTTTTTCCTCCTCTCTTCGTGCCGCGCCTAATAATCTCATTGTCAATCCTCGCGAATATCTCGAGAGCATACTTGATGTGTGGTATCATTCGCGTGCGTGCATTCATTTTATGTATTTAAAGACACAAATTGCCGCAGATCTGTCGCTCAGTATAATCTTTCTTTTTTATCTCAAACCAAAATATTAATAATTGCAACAACCTGCGATAGATACCCGCCGAAGAATTATTTTTGTAAATGCAACTGTCCAACAGTACAACATTTATCGATATTTCGATCAATTTACTTGACTTTATTAGGAATTTGCGGGTCAAACCCTGGCGATTACAGAAGCATAATAATTATGTAACTACATGCAATAAGGTTACTGCGGCCTAGTTCGTCCTTTTTATCCGCATCCATCCTGTATGTCTCTATTTTCCTACTTACCGAAGATTACACGTTCTGTAACAAAACTTTTCTTCGTACAAGTTGTCGCGACACTATAGCTTCTATCTCATTGTCAGATTTAATCTGATCTGACCAGTATACTTTCAACATTGTTGTACTTTCCGATTTTACGGAACTACTTCCCGCGAATGAAATTTTACAATCAAAATGACGAGATAATATAAAAAAATTGCATATAGTCCCGAAATGAGAGACGAATTTATCAAAAATATATAAATGAATAACAAAGTTTAATATATTTTTGTAATCATTATATAAAACATCAATATAAAGAGAGCACAGTTATGTTAAAGTGCAACATTATTGTCATCAGAAAAAAGTGTAAGTAAAACTCGGTTTTCAATAAAAATTGTTAGATTTAAACTTCTACGAAAAACAGTGAAGCTTAATCAAACATTCAATAATAATGTTTAATAAGATTTATTGAATCTTCATCAAAATGTTTCATAGTTTGTAACCAAGATAAAAGAAATGTTAAATATTTATAGATTATACATAATATAGTGAGTGAGTGAGTAAGTGAGTGAGTGAGTAAGTGAGTGTGTGTGTGTGTGTGAGAGAGAGAGAGAGAGAGAGAGAGAGAGAGAGAGAGAGAGAGAGAGAGAGAGAGAGAGAGAGAGAGAGAGAGAGAGAAATTAATACAATATAAAATACCGGATTAATAAATAAGTTTAGATAGAAAAATAGGGGTTGCAGTTAGACCCGAAGGCCATCCGTAATTATTGGTTACGTCGTAATGGTTTACGGAATCTTCATGTTCCCTATTGTCTCGGGTTTCCTAGGAACAAAATGTACCAAGATAATCTGCGCGAGAGACCGGGAGGCCTTGAAACCCGAACCATCATCAAAGAGAGGGCAATAAAACCTGAGGGAATTCCGTCAAGACATGTTGAGACCCTTGTCGTGGCTTTATTCCGGGCTTCAAGATACCTCCAGTGATATTTTTAACATTGATTTTTAGAGTAGGTATTATTTGTTTTATATATAAATAAACTTACATGTGTTGCGTGGGATTCATGCACCTGTGCTGATATTATAAATATTACAAGTCCCAGCGACCTGGAAAGAAAAAAACATCACGTTTAGTAATATATATTTTCTTTTAAAATTTATATAGAAATATCAATAGAAATGTATAATATATCGTATTTATTTGTTACTATTAACAATATTTGATAAGGTAGCACCAGGTATTAGGTATTCTGATTTTTTCATTTAACAGATCTTGACCTAGACTTTGACGTAACAGACTTCGTTACGTCGAAGCAAGTTTTACTGAAAAGTGGTTCCACAACTCCTTACGTCAGTGGATCGGATAGACACCGTTACACGTTACAGAACATTACATGAATCGTGAACCTAATAATTCGATCGAGCAGCAAAACAATAAAATAGCATGTAATCGGTGATACACGCGCGATACTTGAAAATTTTACAATTACAGTTTGTAAAGGTACATTTACATATATAAAATTTGTAATGTAACTTCTTTAACTTAAGTAAACGGCTAAATAAGTAAATAATATTGAGAGTCTTTAGTTAAACAATCAATGACTTCATTGTCACTAAGTCAAAATATAATCGTAATTTTGTTTTACGTATTAAAAGTATAAAAGAGTCGAGATTATAATAATCAACAAAGGCGTGAAGGTTAGCACAAAAAGTAGACACGTATGTTGGCAACATAAATTGAGAGCAAGTGCAATGCCTTCGTCAACAGCAGTGGTGACGAAAATCTTGAATGAGCGTGTTTTTGCAGTGCGTTGGCACGCGTCATTGCGTAAGTTCTTCGAGTGGTCGTCATTCAGGTTTGGAACGATGCCCGGAACTGCCGGTGACTCGCTATCCAGAATGGGCGAGCTCCAATATACAGGCGTCTGTTATCGGCTGGCGGGTCTAATATTCTCGTGAGAAGTGATTTATCGATTTTATCGATATCGATTTTACGCGACGGTAATTACGAGCGTTTGCACCGCGCCACGTTTAAAGGCGACGTACAACGGTATGCTATTCTGCATACAGTGAGAACAACCTGAACTCTCAAATTGCTTATGACAACTGTCTCTTGTTTATTTGTTGATGCATAAACATCACGTTTAAATTCCGCATCTTTTATTTAGTTAGCAATTTTCAAATTATCATATCGAAACAATAGAAGAATGAAAATTTGGTACGCAAAAGGAAGCAAAAATATAGAGACAAGAGAACGATCGCGTGGCTGTTATGTTTTTAGTATAAATATATTGTAGCGACAAAAATTGTGTTATAAAAATACAAATTTTGCGTGAATTTTTAAAAACCGATTTTTTTTTAATAAACCGCAAATCACACGTAAGAAGATTGTATAGATCGCGATTTAAGATTGCAGTTGTTATAATTGGTCTCAGCTGCGAGAAAGTTCTTGATGAAGTAATTTTATGAAGTACGGACATGCAAGATATAAAGATATAGCTGGATATCATTTAATTGAAATACAGTTTTTAACGCGCTAAATGCACACACAGCAATACTCGCAGCGTATTTCTTTGTAGCGTCGACTGGTTTAACGATATTTTTTAATTTCTCGCCTTTTAAATGTTTGTCGTGTAGAGTGGGGGGGGGGGGAGAGAAATAACTAAATCGTTGACCTAATTTCAAGTACCAATAGGGTGGCTCTAATATAATTACCAGTGCTCGATAATCGAGCTATTCAAATTCGAAACTTCGAAAGTGTTTCTGTGTTTGCGAAAATAACTTCTTCCATTCAATATTGCAGAGGTGGCTTTGTCGGTATAAAGTTTCATATTGCAGTGTACAGTTTGCAGAATTTCTAGCTATGAACTTCTGAGAATGTCAATAAAATTAAGTTTCGAGGCTGTTCGGTTTACGGAAATATGCAAATTGGCGACAAACAGTATAAAGGCAGGAATAATCTTAAATAACTTGTGTGATCAAGCTTGATGACTTATGCTTTTTATTTGCAATTTTTGAACGTTAATTATTGAAGGTCGTATTCAAGACGATAGTTCTGATAAAAAGGCAAATTTAATTTACGCAGTCATGCTAAAATTTAAATAGATTACTTATAGCATCGACTCATGCTCATTCATCGACTTTTGTGTTAAATTAATCGTATAGTTGCAAACTATAGAATCGCTACGCTCTCGACACTTTAAATGAGATTTGAAAACCACGGCCCGTAAATGCAAATGGCTCGAGACCAAGTCCTGTATTCGAAATCCTTCTAACGAGGACTCCCCTACGATCGCGTTCTTTAAACTTCTTAATTAGCCGCACCTCTTCGAGTATGCGCAGATTCGAATGTCCAATTACATCGCGATCAAGATTGCACATTACTTCACAATGCACCATGATATAAACGCTCCAACTGATAGAGCTATAAGTCAATTGGCTGTAATGAGTCACTTTTATTTTCTCTTCATTAGCGTTCAATTAGATTAAATTTTCTAATAATCTATAGATAAATCTATAGATATAAATGAATATTAACATGTGCCCTTTATTAACATGTTGTCTATCGTATCATTTGTAATAAGTGTCTATAAATGTCAACAAGTGTCTGTTTTATTTTTACTTTAACGTAAACAATAATTGAAGAGAGGAGAATAATTGCTATATAGGCGGGACATTTTATATTACAGAAACGTTTGTCCTGAGATGAAGTATGCGAAGGACTAACGAGCTTACGGAATGTAAAATGGAATGGATATGTATCCGGAATTCAGGCATAAGGCGCATCCCTCTCCGAACAACGGGCTAATTAGAAGAACGATACTCGCGGTGCTGCTGAAAGCGGCAAAAAAAGCATCGGCATGCTCGCGCAAGAGCACCTCGGGCGCTTCCATATCAGATTATAGTTAGGAAACTGGCATAGGCCGCCTTTTACGCAGCCGGCCTGTAGATAACGGCAATCCGATAACATTGTAATTGGTTTATCGGTTATTAATAATGGCACGACCGTTCGTGGTCTATCGTCAGGGTGCAGCATGCATCGACGTGGGATTATATGCGTCCCGACATATGATAATCGAAATATCGCCTTCCCATACAACTTGAATTTTTATTAAATGTTAAAGATACACTGAAAAAAATTTCTGGTTGAATATGGACGAATCAGATAATTCCTTTAGGATTTACCAGAATTCCTTTAGGATTTACCAGAATTTCTGTAGGATTACAGGAATTCTGGTAAATCCTAAAGGAATTCTGGTAAATCCTAAAGGAATTATCTGATTCGTCCATATTCAACCAGAAATTTTTTTCAGGGTACGAAGTACGAACTACGCGAATCCGTTGGTTTCGATAGAACATTTAATAGCATTAGTCGAAAAATTATGCACCAGGCAATTTCTATCGAGAAAGCAAATGTTTTATGTATAAAGTATAATAGAAATGTGTGTACTTAGCTTGGCGCAAACAAAATAAGATAATTACTAAGCACCGAGAAATCATCAATCGCTATGTTGATTTAGATATACAAGCTTAAGAAGTGAGGATATTGATGAAAATTACACATTCTCTCTAAAATACTAAAAGGAATGTCTCTCTAGGAATTGGACACTGAAATTAAGAAATACGCTCGGATACGCGCGAAATGCTCTCCAATCAGCGATTACGAACTGCTACACGCTATAAATTCGTTAATCATAAATATTCAAGAGTCAATTAGCATCTTTGGTGAAAGGGTCGCGTACTCACACGGATCAATTAATTATCGATTTCCATTACGCTTACGTAATGACCTGTTAATGGTCGTGAATATGCACTTGAGAACGTCTCGCTCAAACTTTTGACTCGAGTGTCGCGATTCGAGTCTACCGTTTGCGGTAAAATTTATGGAATAAATTTCTCATAAACCTGTCTCGTATCACATTGTTCCAACTACGTACAACTACGTGTACGCAAAGTTGCTTTTATTTGGATTTATGTGGGTTATTCGTCGCAAAATATACGCGTCGACAAAAGTTCCGCAAGTGAAAACGTGTGATAATTAAACATGGTGCAATATTGTATCGCGATAAATAACAAAATACTATCCAGCTGCTGCTGGAGTACCTATTACTTTGATTTATGACACGATTTGCGGCAAAACGTTGTATAATTTCAATTCGAATATATAAATAATAATTATCGTTATAACTATTGCATACAATTTTAATATAATTTCAGTATAATTGTACAAATACTATAACACATTATATAATTTATCCTGACAATGAAACTGTAGGGGACCGTGCGTTGGACATGCATGGCGCATAACATTAACCCACTTACCATAAATGCTCTTACGACGTAAAATATTTTTGCACAGAAGTAATCTCGGGGGAAAATATAACATTTGGCCTCTCGCGTATTGCTTAGCTGACGCGAATCCCGTCGCTCGTTTTAACGAACGATGTCTGGCGCGGGCGTCGGCGATTAATGCATTATTTTTAACGGAAAACGACAGAAGGCAAGTTGGGTACGTGGATATTATATACTTTCGCAATATCCGGATCGCACGATTATCGCGAGAGAATTCCGACGCATCCTCGGCTGCTGCACCACCTTTCCGTTGTATCCACGTCGCCATGATAGATAGACGCAAACTCTCGGCAGGCGCGCGCAATCACGATTCTTTAGGAAAACAAATGATTCTCCATTAATTGCCAACTGTAGACTGTTTGATTTAAACGGTTGCGCCGGGAAAAGAAACTACGTGAAAAAATTCACGACTTTCGAACCTCTGCGAGCGTTGAAGAGCAAACCGTGATTTTGCGCCGAATATCCGGAAAAACATTTTTTCAAATATAATTACACACATACGCATATAAAACATATCCATATATGTTTTCCTTTTCTTATATGAACAGAAGATTACACGAGAGGTGAAAATATATGAACACGTTTCGTACATATATAATTATACATGGCAATGCTTTTCGGATAGTGCTATACGTTTGAATTAACAAAATAAATTTCTCGTATCTATAACATTATATAAGTTGCAAGAAACAAATCTTTATGATGCAATTTACACTTGGTTTCCGCCGTGCAAGAACAAAACTGTTCTTTTTATC